AAGCCGCTGTCCTCCCCCCAGACCACCCGGGACCTCCTGGCTGCAGGCTGACGCCCGTCACTGCGTCGCCTCCATGTTTACAGCCAGGCTGCGTTCACCAAATGTGATTTATCCATAAGAAGCAACAAAAATAAAACGCATCAGCCTTTCTGTACCGAGCTGCGTTCAGTATCCAGCGATGTTGTGACATGTAAGATAAACATGAAGTGCTCTGCGTTGAGTGGGCGTCGGCCCCGACCGTGTGGGCGGAGTTCATGTGGCAGCAAGGTTGTTGAACATTCAGCAGCGAATTTTATCACTCATGCATTTACAAAACATAATGAATAAATGCTTCCTGATCCAAAACTGACTCTGGTCTTTTCTTATTAAGAATGTTCTTATTTTAAACTGTTTCAGATCTTAGCTGACCTGTAGATCCTCACTCATTACCTTAGCTGTGACATGATGCCACTTTACCATCTATTAACACCTACATAGTCTGAAAGGAACCCTGTTTATCTTTTATTTGGTTTAATATCAGTTTACTTGGTATATAAAATGGGTTATAAAAATAAAACCCTGAATGTTGGTAACTATACAGTCATGTATACAACGCTGCTTTTCATCAGTGTTTTTATCACTGCTTGCCTTTATCAAGCAAGTCTAAAGAGCTTTACTAAACGAAATTTATTTTTGTTTACACTTGTGTACAAAATGACAATCTTTATATGCATTTTAAATGTAGCATTTTACTTCTAGAATTTCTTCACACCTTCAGTACAAACATACTTCATTAATCCTAAAGGGAAACCAAATGGAACCTTCAGATGATATTTAGGTTTCTTCTGATGTACACTCACTGGCCACTTTATTAGGTACCCCATGCTAATAACGGGTTGGACCCCCTTTTGCCTTCAGAACTGCCTCAATTCTTCGTGGCATAGATTCAACAAGGTGCTGGAAGCATTCCTCAGGGAGTTTGGTCCATATTGACATGATGGCATCACACGGTTGCTGCAGATTTGTCGGCCGCACATCCATGATGCGAATCTCCCGTTCCACCACATCCCAAAGATGCTCTATTGGATTGAGATCTGGTGACTGTGGAGGCCATTTGAGTACAGTGAACTCATTGTCATGTTCAAGAAACCAGTCTGAGCTGATTCCAGCTTTATGACATGGCGCATTATCCTGCTGAAAATAGCCATCAGAAGTTGGGTACATTGTGGTCATAAAGGGAAGGACATGGTCAGCAACAATACTCAGGTAGGCTGTGGCGTTGCAACGATGCTCAATTGGTACCAAGGGGCCCAAAGAGTGCCAAGAAAATATTCCCCACACCATGACACCACCACCACCAGCCTGAACCGTTGATACAAGGCAGGATGGATCCATGCTTTCATGTTGTAGACGCCAAATTCTGACCCTACCATCCGAATGTCGCAGCAGAAATCGAGACTCATCAGACCAGGCAACGTTTTTCCAATCTTCTATTGTCCAATTTCGATGAGCTTGTGCAAATTGTAGCCTCAGTTTCCTGTTCTTAGCTGAAAGGAGTGGCACCCGGTGTGGTCTTCTGCTGCTGTAGCCCATCTGCCTCAAAGTTCAACGTACTGTGCGTTCAGAGATGCTCTTCTCCCCACCTTGGTTGTAACGGGTGGTTACTTGAGTCACTGTTGCCCTTCTATCAGCTCGAACCAGTCTGGCCATTCTCCTCTGACCTCTGGCATCAACAAGGCTTTTCCGCCCACAGAACTGCCGCTCACTGGATGTTTTTTCTTTTTCGGACCATTCTCTGTAAACCCTAGAGATGGTTGTGCGTGAAAATCCCAGTAGATCAGCAGTTTCTGAAATACTCAGACCAGCCCTTCTGGCACCAACAATCATGCCACGTTCAAAGTCACTCAAATCACCTTTCTTCCCCATACTGATGCTCGGTTTGAACTGCAGGAGATTGTCTTGACCATGTCTACATGCCTAAATGCACTGAGTTGCCGCCATGTGATTGGCTGCTTAGAAATTAAGTGTTAACGAGCAGTTGGACAGGTGTACCTAATAAAGTGGCCGGTGAGTCTAGATGTAGATTGCTGCAGGCAGGAAGGATCTCCTGTAAAGCTCGACTTCATTACAAGCTCCAATTATTCCTCCTCGGATCCAGTATGTCTTTCTTTATTCAACCCCTGCTCCTCCAGTTTCCTACCTTAGTCTAGTTCTTACTTTTCCTCACATCTTTCCACCATTTATTTCTTGCCAACTCCAGTGTCTTGCTCAACCAAGCACTTTTATTCCTTAATCCAATCCTTTCCTTTACTGTTTTCCATTCTTCAAGCAATGGACTCTATGCACAGCTCCACTGCTTCCTGAATTATAATAAGCTCTTTTGTTTCCTGTCTTTCATTACTGGATGGACTGATTAATCCAGGTGTGTCTGGCCAATGTTACTGGGGTCTGACACACCTGGATTAATCAGTTCATCCAGTAGAGAAAGACAGGAAGAGCTGCTTTAAGTTCAGGAAGCAGTGGAATTGTGCATAGAGCCCATTGAATAATTTTTTTTCCCATCCACAATCAAATACCTTCTACCTCCATTCCGTCTATATATTTCTAATGTTCTATTTATGATAAAAAATGGGAAAAAGATTTTGAACTTTTAGACCGTCTTCTACCTGTATCGCTCATGATGCAATATATCCTTTCATAATTTGGGCTCTTATTTATTTTTACTATCTTTATATATCCATTATACAAGACATTAATGAATGCCAGGGGTTTATGAGGATATTATAAATGGGAAAACAAATACAGAATAGTAAAGGTATGTCAAAAAAAAAAGGATGAATAAATTCAACTATATTTGTCTGCCTGGTTGTGTGTTTCCTGGATCGGGCCGCATTTTACAGTTGGTTAAAGTATGTCTGCTTCTGTCTCCTTGAACCCCAGTCGGCCTCAGCAGATGGCCGCTCACACTGAGCCTGGAGGTTTCTTTCTGTTAAAAGGGAGTTCTTCCTCTCCACTGTCGCTACAAGCATGCTTAGTGTGAGGGATTATTGTCGAACCAATAAGTCGATGCAATCAACTGGTTTTCCTTAGATAGAAAACTTTTAATCAGTTTGACTGTATGATCTGGTTGAACTGTAAAGTGTCTTGAGATGACATGTGTTGTGAATTGGCGCTATATAAATAAACTGAATTTAATTGATATTTTGTTTTAACCGCCTTTGGTTTTCAAATTGTTTCATTGTCAGGTTTTCCCCTCTGAGTTATATCAGGTCTTCAATGAAACAGCGTGTCATCATTTCTCTAACAGCTGATTGGCTGCTGGGTTCAGCATTTTCTAGGATTTAGATTTAGACCTTTGCCGTTCATAGTTTGTTACCATGGTAACCAGCCTTGCTGAGCCTGAATCCAGCTTCGTGGTACTGGAAAGTCAAGAGTTAAACCTGAGTTTATCTCGTTAACCCAGTAATCCTGCATGACTAAACACTCCTGCAACTGAAAAAGGTGAAATTAGTGAATATTTGAATATTTTAGTTCTTTTTAATCTTAGAGATGTGTGTCAAGTTTTACTTAGAAGCGGAGGACTGATGGGATTAAATTAGAAATATATACCAGGAAATCTGGGTTCAGATGCCCCTCATCAGGGATTGGAGGAGCAGACCGACAGCTAACCAATCAGAGAGCAGAAATGAAAACACTGAACCAACCAATCAGAATCTAAACTTTAAAAAAACAACTTGAAAGTGTTCATGTCTTATTTTTAATTTTGTACTAATTTTCAGGCATCAATGGTGTAAAAAAAAAAGTTTTATTTATCTTGACAGTTTTGGTGCACCTCGATTAAACATCAGCAGTCATAAATATGATCAATCTTTATAGGAATAAAGCTCTTTTTATGACTAACTGTAAAATTAAATCGGTTTAAAAGTAAAGATTTATAATATGTAATTATTTTCTGTTTAAAGAGACTTTACATGGGGTCTGACACAGAAAATACAAAAACTATTCTCTAAAAATATGTTTCAATTTCACCATCCCAGACTAATATTTATTTTAATTTCAAATTTAGTCAAACTATTGATATAGTTTAGTAATATTGTAATTGTTCCCCATAACAGATTACTGTCATCTGCAAATATTCCAAATTTAAATAGATTAGGATCCTTAAAAACATTTATCCACATTTTGATTTGAAAAAGCTTCCTGGTTGGGAAGCGAAACATCTTCAAACTTAAAAAAACCCCCAAAAAACTAAGTCCAATGGATTGTTTTTAACTTTCTTTTTCTGGAATGACAAAGAATCTTGACCTGCATGTATTTTTATATTAATATACTTTATGCTGCTTTTGAACAATTACCCAGAAAGGAAAAAAAAGAAACTAAAGATTTGAACCAAACTTTTATTTAACCACATAGAAAAATCCAAGGCAGACATTCTTTGTTCTGTACAGCAGTGTTTCTCACCAAATAAAAATAGCAAACTTAAGGCACTGATTCCTCAGAGGTTAGACGATCCAAAGGGAAGAAGAAGGTGAAACAAGCAGCAAACGCACAGAAGCAAACTTCCACACGCGTACAAACGCACACACACAGCACAAAATAAAACCTGAGCCCTGCCAACCCATCCAGAACTTCTGTTCTCACAGCGGACCTTACGCCGCCTTTAGTTCAAGTTCATCCCGCACAGACGAGGCGCTACGGCCAGAAATGGCGGTTATGAAAGGAAGCAGGTTTTCTCTCAGTGAAGAGATGCAGCAGTGCTTTATATTAAACATGGGGGTTAACATGAAGGCCTTAAACATACGGGAGCGATTTCATAGGTTTTCCAAACTGAAGGTTGCCCCCCCCCCCCCCCCGCCATCATTTAATCCGCCATCCAGCCTGTAACCTCCATGTTTGATTTGTTACATTCAACCGTTCAGAGATGTAAACTTCAGATTGTACATGCAGAGCCAAAGCAGAACAAAATAGTGTTTGAAGGCGGCTTTTTTTTTTTAAAGATCCTCCTCCCTTATTGGCTGAAGCTAGTATCCCCGCCCCCTTCCCCTGAAGCTGGAGCTATAATATTGAGTCACCGCCCCCTGGTCGCCATGCCGCCGCCTCTGCATCCCTCTCCCAGGATCATAGCTGCTCCGTCCTCTTCCTCCCCGCCCCCTGTAGACCCTCCTTTGCCCCTGGTAGCCAAACGGGTCCACATCAAAGTCGTCTTCGGTGCTGCACGCCACCGACAGCGGCTCCGCCATGCCCAGGCCCGCTGCTGTGTAAACCATATGGCTGTGATCTGGGGCGCTTGGAGCGGCGTAGGGTTTGGTGCTGGGGAAGTGTTTGCGGGGGCCTCTGTAGCCTGATGGAGAGCCGGGGTTACTGCTGGACCTCAGGGAGGCGTCGCTCATGTCGGGGTCTGAAACCACAGCCAGCTGAGGGAGAGAGAGAAACGGCCATTACTGCTGAAAACAAGTTAAATCAGTAGTCAGATCGTAAAGCTTCAGGCCAAAGTCTTTGATGTTTCAGATAAATCAGACCTCCCAAAAAAAAAAAAAAATTATTATTCTTTTTGCTGATAAACTGTGTAAACAGATGTCTTTTAGTGCCGTCTGTGGTTTCTTCACACTGTTTCGGCAACTCACTAACCTGACTCTGCCAGATGGATTTGCTCTGCATATCCATCTGGAAACCTTCCGTAGAAGTAATTTTGGGAAGGGGCGAAAATACTGGTTAGCTGATTGGCCTATGTTGGTGATAGACGGGCCAAATAAACCAATCAGATCAACGAAGCATATGACGTACTAACAGCCAGGCTACTCTTGCCCAAACCAGTCTGGAGAAGAGAAAACATCTTTTCCTCTGAGAAAAGCCTCCAGAGCAGTGTTTTGCTCTTCTTTCAGTGAAGAAATACTCTGTAATTCCGATAAAACTTGCTCGATAGCCACGCTAACGCTAGTTTCATCGGCTGAAGCCGCCATGTTCTTTAGACTGAACTGTCGCGCTTCTCGTTGCGTCACACCTCAACCCGCCTCAAAGCCAACGCTGATTGGACGTTCGTTTGGTGAACGGCTCCAAATGTTCTTTAACGGAGAGTTTCCAGACTGATTAGCGAGTGAAATCTTGAAAGCTCGCGAGATCAGGATGTCCTCACGAGGCTAGCAACTCACTGCACGTTTGTTAAAATTGTTGAAATGCTTTTGTATTTAAAAACCCTTATTTTTGGCGCCCTCCTCAGGTTTAAACGGGGTTACTGCAACCAAGTTTTGCTACTAGCTTTATACAAGTTCTGATCTCAGTCAGACAATCTCACGTTAGCAGAATTTGCTCCTACTACATAAAGATGTTTGCACTATTTCAGAAGAAGTGTCGACCGCTGACTGGACTGGAGCCATGAGCCGCCCGTCCTCAGCCGGAGGAGCCGGGGCTCCCTGCCCCCGTCTGCCGGGCTTCCCAGACCAGCCACGGAGCCGGCGACTCGGTTCGAGTTCCCGGTGTGTTTCTACAACATGCTGCACTGTGGTCGACCAAAATCCCAGACGATTTTGAAATTCCCTCCAGGCATTTTTCTAGGTATGAAAAGTAGGAAGTGTCCGGGAAAAAGAGGACGTCTGGTCCCCCTACCATATCAACAATGTCGATGTTTCAGTTAGTGAGTGCTTGTTGCTATGATGCATCTTTGCTCAGCAGCTTCACTCGTTGTCAACCAACCAATCAGCGCACAGCTCATCTAAATATTCCTGAGCATACCATAAAAGGAAGAAAACCTTTCGTTTCATTCTGGGGCTTTTAACCAGGTTGCATTAGGGCTGATAAAACAGCAAATATGCCATTTTCAGCTCAACCAGTGTTACACTCTTCAGAGACATTAAGGAACAAATACCCTATAGAATCATTCTATGACCGCTTTAAAGAAATGATACAAGACCAAACAGATGAGGTACACTCATTTCATCCAAATTATTTGCATTTCTTAGATTTTTAAATAATAAATATTAATGATTTCTTTCATTTTGTCTATATTTTAAAAATAGAAAATGTTTAAAAAGGCACAAAATCAAATCTGAATGGACATTATTCATTATTTATAATAGTATTCATCTCTATACTCATTCAGTAGAAACCCATGTCCTGTATTTATGGAACCATTATTGCACTTCTGGTTAGACCTAAGGTGCATTTCGTTGCCTTGTACCTGTACCTGTGTAATGACAATAAAGTTGAATCTGATCTAATCTAAAACATAAAAATAAAATAGTAATAGACACCCTGAGAAACCACAACAACAGACACTTCTAAACTGTTGCTCTGTCTGGGATAGACTCTGAAACAACAGACGTGATAGTAGCAGCTATGTGTACTTTTACCAGCGTTTAATTTGGTCTGGTGGTGAACTCCAACTTTCGTCATGCTGCAGTTAAAGGACTAGTACACCCAAAACATGATTAGCCTTCATTTTCTACTCACCCCCATGCTGAAC